CGTGACCTCCTGGTTCCTAGGTCCACGCTCAGCCACTGACCACGCTGGCCAGGCTGTTCTGCTCTTCAAGCCCAGGACACTGGGCCATTGTCCTGGCGCCGGGCGCTGACACAGGAGGGGTGGGCAGTGGGCAGCGAGGAGACGGAAGGGACGGCCTGGACTAGTGTCCCGGGTCTTAAAAAGAAAATTAGTTCCCGCTCCTCCTGAAGAGAAAAATGAAGTGGGAGGTAGCTCACAATGCCGCCCCTGCAGGTGGGAGTTCCTCCCGCAGGGCCGGCCACCTGCCCTGTGTTTTGTCGCTGTGGATGGAGAGGTCTCCGAGATGCCACCGGGCCTCTGCTTTCTCTGATGCCACAAGTGAAATGACATTTATTTTGGAGTCTCGGAAAGCAGGAGAACTCAGCTGCTGGATGTTTACAAACAACATGGAGAGGGGCGGCCAATTTCCCTAGGCAGACCCCCCAACAGTGGGGGCCAGGTTGGTCATTTTGAAGTGTGGCCCAGACCTCAAAAATCAAAATTACACTGAGCCCGGCCTGCGTGACTCACTGGTTGAGCATTGACCTATGTACCAGGAGGTCACAGTTTGATGACTGGTCAGGGCACATGCCTGGGTTGCAGGCTCCATCCACAGTGTGGGGTATGTAGGAGGCAGCCAATCAGAGATTCTCTCTCATCATTGATATTTCTCTCTCTCTCTCTCTCTCTCTCCCCCTCCCCCCTCCATTCCTCTCTGAAATCAATAAAAATATATTTTTCAAAATTATGCAGAGCTCTTACCTATTTTAACATCTGGCTGATTTGAACAAGACTGTAACCCGGTCTCAGAAGAGAATTAAGCATCATCTCTTAAAACAAAAAATTGCATTTTGGCTGTTCCTTTGCTTTCAAAGTAACACTTGGATAATTCTGAACACAACTGTACAGATAATTTACAAAGTTCTGGGGCTTTTTTGTTTTTTTTTAATATATTTTTATTGATTTCAGAGAGGAAGAGAGAGATAGAAACATCAATGATGAGAGAGAATCATTGATCCGCTGCCTCCTGCACGCCCCCTACTGGGGATCGAGCCCACAACCTGGGCACATGCCCTTGACCAGAATCGAACCTGGGACCCTTCAGTCCGAAGGCTGACGCTCTATCCACTGAACCAAACCGGCGAGGGCCAAAGTTCTATTTTAAATGTGAAATGGCCTTATCATCTTCTGGCCCAGAAAGTATAAGAAAATATTTTTAGAATGTCATGAATGTGGCAAGCTCTGTAATACATGACGCTGTTATCAACAATGTTATCAGCATGATATCCTGGGAACAGCCGCCAGACCACAGCCTGGATTGCACAGTATGTGGAAGACTATGTATGAAGCCAAAAGGATGAGAAGGACTTTTGGGGATTATTATTCTCTACTAGAGGCCCAGTGCATGGAATTTGTGCATGGGTAGGGTCCCTAGGCCTGGCCGTCGATCAGGGCCGATCTGTGCGGCAACTGGGGGCCCCGCTGGCACCCGCCTTGGTTGCCCTGTCGCCACCTGCTCATCAACCTTGCCTTCTGCCGCCGCCACCAGTCAGGGCCTGCAAGCTGGGGGCAGCTTCTGTGTTGAGCATCTGCCCCCTGGTGGTCAGTGCACATCATAGCGACCGGTCGTTCTGCCATTCCTGGTCAGGGCACATGCCCAGGTTGCAGGCTTGACCTCCAGTGTGGGGCGTGCAGGAGGCAGCCGATCCAGGATTCTCTCTCATCATGGATGTTTCTATCGCTCTCTCCCTCTCTAAAATCAGTACAAATATATTATATATATTAAAAAACAAGATGGAGATGGCATCTGCAACCTTTTGGGTGTCATATGAGAGAGGGGAGGCCTGGGGAAGCCCCTCCCGCGGGCCAGTGAACCCCTCGGACTCTATGTCCACTGGCCCTTCGTGTGCTGTATGTGACGTGTTCACCCACATGTCATGTTCACGTCCCTGGGCTCATGAATGGCTATTCCAGGACCGTTATATTCTAGTTGAAGATCAGGCCATGGTTCCTCTTCTCTCTCCGCCGCCCATCCCAACGTGCCAACGACACAGCCGAGTGTCAGCCACATGTCGTGTAAGCTGTTAGTACAGGTGTCTGGGGAATGGCCCGGCCCGCGTGGCGAGGTGGTAGAGCATCGACCTATGAACCAGATCACAGATCAATTCCTGGTTTGGGCACATGCCCTGGTTGCCGGCTCGGTCCCCAGGATCCCCAGTAGGGGGTGTGCAGGAGGCAGCTGAACAATGATTCTCGTCACTGATGTTTCCATCACTCTCCCTCTCCTTTCCTCTCTGAAATCAATAAAAATATATCAAATCACACACAAACACACACACACAAACAGATGTCTGGGGAACGAATCTGTTTTCCCAAACAGGTTGCGAGCCCAGTGCCCCGCGGAGAAACCGTCGAGATCATGGAAAACCACAGAGCCAGCAACCCGGCCCTGCTTCTCCCAGCCCATGACCAGCTCTGACAGTGCCAGCTGGTTTCAGAAACTGAGCGCGAAACCCCGGGCACCGTGGCAAGCGATGATCGTCTGGGGGAGCCGCCTCTTGGTGACGGGCCGGGCAGTGCGTGTGCTGGTGGGTGAGGCCGCCTCCCTTATAGACGCTTTCTGCTCGGATGCAGGCAGGCCCGAGGACGATGACTCAGCCCGGCATCTGTTACTGGTTATTCCAGATGCCGCCCTGCCTGGGCTCTGCGCTCCACTCCCACCCCCAGAGAGGACGGGCGGGGGGCGGGAGTGAGCCTGGCTTATATTTTTGTGGTGGTTAATCCCCTCACCTGAGGATATTTCCCCGTTGATTTTTAGAGTGGAAAAAGGGGGAGAGACAGAGAGACAGAAACAGCAATGTGAGAGACACATGCGCTCCGGCCAGGGCCAGGGATCGAGCTTGCAACCGAGGTACATGCCCTTGACCAGAATGGGACCCGTGACCCTTCAGTCTGCAGGCCGATGCTCTACCCATTGTGCCACACCGGCCAGGCGAACCCGGTTGATATGGAAACCAGCCGGTACATGGTGTGGTTGGAGGGCTGAGTTCATGACCGAGACAAGGAGGAAGGGAAAGACAAGATGATCTGACAGACTTACTCTTGGCAGAAACGTCGTTGAATGTTTTAAGGGGTTCGGGTATTTTTCCGATTGTAGGGAGAACTGTCACGGAGTCAACCATGGTCTGTCACCAAGTCGGAACAGGGGCGCGGCACCCTCATGTCTAAGGAACAGAATCGCCTTCTCCAGGCAAAGCCACACGAGGCTCAAAACAGGGCCCTTCTGTCCTCTGATGGCATTTTTTTAAAAAAAAAATATTTGTATTGATTTCAGACTGGAAGGGAGAAGGAGAAACATCAATGATGAGAGAGAATCACTGATCAGCTGCCTCCTGCACGCCCCCTACTGGGGATCAAACCCGAAACCCAGGCATGTGCCCCAACTGGGAATGGAACCGTGACCTCCTGGTTCACGGGCCGAAGCTCAACCCCCTGAGCCACACTGACAGGGCTGGAAGCTTCTTGAATCTGGGTCCAGAGGCTCTTGACTGGATAGAACTCTTCCTAGGAAGCAAGTCCACACTTCATATGAGAGCTGCCAGGGGGCACGAGGCAAGCAGATCCACTTGCAAGGGGTCACCAGGGCCCCGGCTTGCACTGACGGGGCGGGGCGCACGCTGTCGTCACAGCTGACGTGTGTAGACCCAGGACCCGGAGCACAAGTGGAATTTTCCTCCCGGCGGCGGAGGGAGGCCGGGGAATTTTCCAGACTAATTTAAACCAGAGGACGGCTCCTGGAAAGTGCAGTGATTCAAGCCCCTTGGCAGAGGCAGAAGCCCCAGGCTCGGTGGCTGTTGCCTAACTCGGGTTAGCACTCAATGGTAATCCTGTTTCCTGGTCCTGGGGTCTAAACAAGAACGCTGCTTGGCTCCCAGAGCATCCTAGCGATTTCTAGAGCATCCTGGCGGTTTCTAGAGCATCCTGGCAGCTCCCAGAGCATCCTAGCGGTTTCTAGAGCATCCTGGCGGCTCCCAGAGCATCCTAGCGGTCTCTAGAGCATCCTGGCGGCTCCCAGAGCATCCTAGCGGTTTCTAGAGCATCCTAGAGGTTTCTAGAACATCCTGGCATAGGGCGGCCACACCCGAGTGGGGGCTGCAGATGTTTGGGGCTACAGATGTGATTCCCAACACTCATGATTCTCATGCACGGACCTTCCAGACTTGCTCTTTCATGAACCCGCCGTCCTGCCTCTTGTGATTTCTAACCCGCTGTCCGTGAGGTCGCTGGGGACTCCGAGGACACGAGGCAAAGCAGAGAAAGGGGAGGGAAGGAGCCTCAAACATGCAAACGGGGTTTAGAAAGTGTCATCTCTCAGAAAGGCAGCTCACTTATTCGGACCATTTCACCAAGTGACAAATGGGTCTCTCGGGATTTAAAAGCTCAAAGGGCTGGTGATAAAGTGAGGAAAAGTCCTGGATAAAATGGAAGGATTTGACTTGGAGGTAAAAAGCAAAAAGAGGAAAAAGTAAAGACAAAACAAAAAATGTTCCTCCCCGCTCTAACCTCGTGCTTTGCGTCCTGCAGAGCAGGGGAGGCGGCCCTCTGGGCTTCCAGGCCTCAGGGCACAGACCAGATGGACAGACCCGCTGGGTCAGGACTTGAGCGCAAGACACGGACAGACACACAGAGGCTCCCGTGGACGGCGCTACGCTTCCTCTGAGTCTAAGCGCCTGAGAATGGAGTCGTGGGTCCACAGACTACGATGGGCAGGCCCTGGGGTCAGAGGACCAGCTGGAATCCGGGCCCCCACCCCCCTCAGCAGCTGGTGACCTTGGACAGTCAGGACTCCCTGCGCCTCAGCTCCCTCGCCTGCAACGTGAAAAGCAGCGACACCTGTCTACCATGAGCGCAGCCAACACAGACACTAGGAACAGAACACAGGGAAGAGGTTCACTCTTCAACCAAAATCAAGAAAAGGAAGACGAGTTGGAAATGGCAAGTTTAATGAGCCCATTTCACTCACGGTCATGTACCCTGTCTGCAAAAAATCATCAGTACTTTTCTGAATGCTCTTATGCCTGAAGTGAAACTCGTTCACAAAATAAAAGCATACGTGATCCAGTGTCTAACACCAGTGATTCAGAGAAATCACCCCTGTTTATTTTTCCCAACAAAGAGGAAAAAAAAAAACATGGTTCGATAATTCAGTGTTTCGGTCGCTGGCAAAAACCGTCCGCACCATTCAACGCCGAGCTCCCGGCTGCGGGCTCCGCGCTGCGCTGACGGCTGGCACCCCCACGGAAGCCTCAGGGAGAGCCGGCACGTGAGGTCACAGGAGTCGGAGCCAGACGCCCGGCAAGATGTGCATAAAAAAAAAAAAAGCCTTGGGAAAACGCAGACCTGGACAGGGAGGCAAACACTCCCGCTGCAGCTGGTTCTGTTCCTTTTCATTATTAGTTTTTGGTTGTGAAGTAAACGTTTTTGCTGTAAGGGAGGAGCTGTAGGACTTTTAAGCGGAAGCCACAAGCCACCGGCTAGTACACTCGCCTTCCCTCCCCCAAACCTCTCATGATTTCTGTTCTGGTTCCGAAAGTAAAGAGAACGATTTCAAGTATTCAATTCCTATCAAAAATTGGTATCAAAAGTAATAAAGGACCTAATTTCTTTGTAATTCCACGTTTTAAAAAATAACTTAAGAAGCACGAGTCCGCCCTTTACTGTGCCAACCCCGCAGCGCGGCTAGAGCTGCTGCAGGCAGCGCGGCGAGGAGTCGGCGTTCAGCACCTCGATCATGGACCGCAGCGTGGGGAACGTCTCCGACACGGAGGGCAGGGCCTTGTAAGCAGGCGAAATGCTGAAGAGGAAAAACACAGGAGGGGTGTGAGCAGTCACACAATTTTACAAAAAAGGCAGAGCTTATGCTGTCTTCCTTCCTACTGTGACACCCACTTTCCAACAGCCCACAGATGTAATGACAGTTAGTACAAAAACACGGAGCTGGGAGCGGAACACACCCTCCTAGGCACCGCGGCACCAGAGGCTCATGCGATGAGCTGCTCAGAAGTTCAATCCGAGTCTTTGGGAAAAATATTAAAACTGATTTGCACCTGACTGTGAGGTGCACACGTCCCACTGGTGGGCACCTGTGTGGAGCAGGAAACCCGAAACAAAGATATCCCGGAAGAACGTGGGGCTGCTAGACACGCGTGGCAAGGCTAACGGATGCACAGACGGAACCAGAGTGTCCGCAGACAGGGGCTCCGTCTCACAGCCGGGACCATGGCCCGGCTGGCAGAGTGGCCGCCGTGGCCTGTAGATGTGCAAGGCGCCACGTGGAGGTTACCATGGGAAAACGTGGAGAAGGGGCAGGGTGAGTGTGGCCAGAGGGAGCTGGTTTAATCTTTGCTGACGGTCGAGGCATCTGCGAGCGGTTTCCTCCCAAACCCACTCCCCTGCGGTTTCCGCAGAGCAGAGCCAGGAGGGGCGGAGGCGGCCGATCGCGTGGCGTCGGCACTGTTCACTGACGCACACGCGTGTCGCCTCGGTGAGGACAACGCCCACCTGCTCAGAACCGAGAGCCGTGCAAGCGCCACTGTACGGGCCACGGCTGCACAGGATCAACTCAGTGTCCACTCGCTCCTGAGCACAGAACCGGAGGGGCGGGGGTGAGCGGTACATGAGCCACGAGAGCTGGCTGTCTGGTTACACAAATAATAAAGACGTTTGTAACTTCCTTTCACAGCGTCTGTATTCATTATTGTCACCCACACACTCGCCCTTGAAGGGGTCTTCCAGGACCGCAGACCAGCTGCCCTGCACGCTCACTGTGTGAGAGGAACTTGGGAATCGAGCGAGTCCCAGCCCCTCAGCGGCAGCAGCCCCGGGAGTGACGGCCCCTTCTCTCCCGTCAGCTCAACACCCTCTGCAGACCCCGCGAGGACTGACCTTTTCAAGTTCATCCAGCTTTTGGCTACTTTGCTGAAGGCCTCGGAACCAGGGGCTGTCATGGCTTCAAAGTCCACCAGCTGAGAGAGAAGGAGCGTTAGGGAGCGGGTGAGACATGAGGCGCGGCTCTCCCTGGGACACCTGGTCCCTCACGGGTCTTCACAAGCCACAGCCCGGCGGGAACGGCCATCCTCCCCGGGCCCGGCGCCTACCTTGCCCTTGGGGATCTTCCCAGCCACTTCCTTGCCGCTGGCCATCAGCACCCCCACGATCACCGAGTACGCGATCACACTGTTTAAAGGAAGCACAGGTCAGTTCCCCAGCTCACCGGGCTTCCCGTCGTAAAAGATGACATTTTCTTTCTCTTAAGAAGCCTCTGAACATTGAACGTAAGGTTGCTTTCATTTGGTTTAAAAGGTACAGACTAACTTACTACTACAAAAGGATCCACAATGTAAAATGCAAGGGTCAATGTGACCGAGAATATCTTTTTCTGAGGAACAGAAGCCTTCTTTTAATTAGGACGCTTCTTCCCACTTAGGTTTTCGATTCCTGGGGACAATGGATTAGAAAATATGTCTGTTTATATTTAACAGCTTCATGTGGCTTGGCTGTCACATCCGTATCGACAACATACTTGGTAGATCCAGGTTAATCCTATCGCTTAAGCATTAAAAACTGGCCTTCAGAGGAGAATAACAGAACTCGCTCTCCAGTGCCACCAGCGGGTTTGAAAAGCGATACGTTGTGTCCGTCTCCTTCCTGGCACCGAACACACTCCCTCCTGATTCTCTCATCTTTGTGACGCCCGAGCGTGTGCCCGCGCCAGGCGACCCAGGTGGCTCAGGACGCAGATAACTAAGCGGGGAGAGCGGGCCCCTGGGACAGGAGTCGCCGGGGCTCCCCTACCAGGGAGGACCCCACAGAGGGCACGGCAGGCGCAGGAGGCGGAGGAGGCGGCAGGGCCTGGGCTGGCACAGCAGGAGGGAGCGGCCCGGGGGGACTTGAGGATGCGAGGAAAGGTGGGAGGCAGTGGGGCAGGACCCTCAGAGGTTCCGAGGGCAGAGAGGGAGGGAGGGGACAAGGCAGGATGGGGCCTGGCCCGGGCACCCTACAGACAGGTGCTAACAGCACATGCCAGCGACATGCACGCAGCACTGGGCACCCTACAGACACCTCCCTTGTTACTGACATCTAAACCCCTGAAGGGTTCATGCGCCAGAATTTATTCACGGGTAAAAGCAGTAGAGAATGGTGGGTGGCTCAAAAGTATAAAACATTAGGGTTACAGGTCAATTAATGGCCGAAATTTGGGGGAGAGAGACGAGGGTGGGGTAACAGTGTGGGCGAATATGAAAATTAAGGTACAAGGAGCACGAAGCCTGCACACAGTAGGCCTTCAATACACCTTCGTGGAACGAATGAGCCCCGAGCCATAGCACTCCAGCACACATCAGAACTCTCGCGTAATTATTTTTGATGATGTGGTAGATCAAGGACATAATGTGGGGGTGGACTTTGAAAAAACCAAAAGGCAGGCTTCTGGTCTTTGACTGGGGTTACTTCTGTACCCACACCCACAGAGGGAAGTGTAAGCAAAAAAAAAGAACATGTTTTTCCATGTGAAACCTTTTAAAGTATAGGACAGCACTCACCTGGATCCTCGAGAGAGTGGCATTAAATTATAAAAGTAATAAACTAAGGATAAGATTAAGTTGCAAACAGCGTCAGCCTCCTAGGAAAAAAAGACACATGCCCGTGAGCTTACACACCAATGACAGACTGAGTCTTTATCAGGTGACAGAACACACTGGGAACAGGGTCATCTCACTCCTCCCCAGCAGCCTGCTCCCGCTCCTGACACCGGGTGCTCTCCTGTAGTTTTGCTAACAGAAGGGTGCACAGTCCAGTCTAGAGCCTACCTTCCCAGCTGTTTTTACAACTGCAAACGTTTCTGATAAGCATACAAATCTCTACCTCCTTTAATGCTATTTGCAAGGTCAGAATACACATTGAGATGAACATAAAGCACTTATTAGTATCGATTATGCTTTTGACAAGCCTCCCTACCTCAAGATTCTGGTAAGCCCCCCTCTGCACAGAGATTTAGGTGGTAAATATGCTTAATTATGTATAAAACTTAGATGCTTAATTATTAGAAGTAATTAAAACTGCGAGAGAAAGAAGGTGCCTTCGTGGGGCCACAGGCACCCGTTCCAGGACGTGGATGGAGTCCTCAGACTCTCAGCCCAGGGACAGCGCAGACATGCAGGGGACAGGCCAGATCCTGCCTCCGGGGAGCCCACCTTGCGTTGGGGTGGGCAATGGAGGGACAAGGTCACAGACCAGAAGAGGTCACTTTCATCAGGGGCCAAATGTATGATAATATAGTAAATATACATTCATTTCCCCCTCCCCAGTGACTGCAGTTACTAAATATGGGCGCCGTCTCGATAAGCACATCTAAAATACGTACAGGACTGTGAAAGCTGGTTTCAAGCATAAAATGCATCATCCCAATGAGAGGGCAGAGGCTTAACGTTTACAGAGAAGCTCGGGCAGCGTGGACGAGAGGGACGCACACCCACCCCGAACTCCGACGAGAGAATGAGCACTTTCCCCTTGGCTGTCAGGTCTTTGTAGAGGGCGTCGATTTCCGCGTGATATAACTGCGTCCTTTCTTCTGTGGTCTGAGTTTCCACAGAAAATAGTATGTTGCCAACCCTAAAAATACAAGAACGCGAGTCAGAGGCCTGGGCGCTACAACCCAGAGCCAAACAGAGTCAGAAAGGAAGCAAATGGCACGCTGACGTGGCACAGGCCCCGCAGGATCGGACCCCGACTTCCAACCACACGGGTGAGGGATGGGCCACCCCGCCTTTCTGACCACACGAATGAGGGATGGGCCACCCCATCTTTCTGACCACACGGGTGAGGGATGGGCCATGGGATGCCGTTTTCTCACAATCCGGAAGTTGCGGGTCTAACCATATGCACTTATTCTAGGAGCTTAAGCGAATACAGGGGGAAATAGCTATACGGGGCAGAGTGTGGGTTTAAACGTCCAGAAACGGCCACCCCGGTGTGACCGGGGTGCAGGGCCTCAGAAAGCTCTGGGACACCAGTCTCCTCTCCTTTCGTTAAGCCTCTGCTGCAGGCGCAGCTCCAGGCCAGGTCTGGGAGGATGTCATTTGCCACCGCAGGTGTTTGAGGGAGGGGGCAGAAGTGAGGCACAAACTACTAGGATCTGAGATGCTATTCCAGGGACCCGAGGCTGCGGGTGAAGTCTGGATTTTAGAATCTATATATATAAAAGGCTAAGCGACCAGCTGACCAGCGACCGGGTATGACGTGCACTGAGCACCAGGGGGCAGATGCTCAACGCAGGAGCCACTGAGGGACAGCAACTTTGCAGAGTGTCCTCTCGCACTCCGGGACCGCTTGGGGGATGTTGGAGAGCTGATTTCGGCCCGTTCCCCGAAGGCCAGGTCAAGGGGCCCCCCTTGCCGGAGGGACCCCACTCACTCTGCAGATGCCCTTTGAGCCCCAGCACGCCCCAGGTGAGGCCGGCCGGGGAGGGACCGAGGGAGGGTGGCTCTAGGGGATGTCAGGCCCGTCTTGCCCAGTCCCGCCAGGCCTGCCACCTTTTAATTAATTCCCTTTCAATGTGCTCAAGTCTGTGCACCAGGCCTCTAATAGTTAATAAAAACGCCCCTTTGGGGCTACTGAGCGTGAAAAAATAGGACATCCCCTAAACAGTCAATAACAAAAAAAGTAGTGGGGAAATGACAACTCCCATAAAACGGAACACTAAGCAATTATTACTCATGCTCAGGACATGGGACATGCTATAAAGCAATGGTGAGGATAGTAAAGCAATATGCACAACATAATCGGTTTCTAAAGAAAAGAACTTCAGGGTTTGTATTTGTTAATCTGTGCTTATCTGCGTATTCTATTTTTTTATTTTTATCTGTGTTGTACACCAGGCGCTGTTCTTGTAATACATTAACACCTGCATTAGAAGAACTTGGAATGGCCTTCCGTCTGCCAGTCTCTCAGCTCTGTTCGTCTTATTAGTGAAAGCCTTCCCCACAAAGAACTTCCAGAACCCAGAGGGGCACTGCCACCTGAGACATCACCCTCAGCACCGAGAAGGCTGTTACACCAGCACAGTGAGGAGTCATCTGCCGTGTTAACACTATGGCTGTCATGTGAAAAGATGACTGGTGATGGCCACAGGTGGCCTTGTTTCATGTCAGGGGACAGGGATAACCCTGTGGAGTCTCCGTGGCAACCGGCACAGAGCACAGCCCACTCTGCACTGGCGACGGTCCCACCCGGCCGAGCACGTACTTGTCGCCGGTGATGGTGATGGTGAAGCCATCGTACTCCTTCCCTTGGTCCTTGAGGCTGGGGACCTTGGTGTTCACCGTGAACCCATCCTTCGTCTTAGTATTGAACTGCTTTCGGGGGAAAGAAAGTTCACGTTACTCGTGTACAAGTCACTGTCAACCCCCACCCGCCGCTGTGCAGGGCGGACTCGACGCCCGTGTTCCCAGGAGATCACCGAGGTCCCAGACACACAGACCAGCCAGCAGTGACGGAGCACAGGCCCCAGCACAGAGTCCGGGCCCAGCTCGCACCCCGTATGAGGCCACAGAGAACTGCAGGCTCCCGGCTCTGGGACCGGTCAGGGCGCCGCTCACTCTTGGAGCTGCTTTGGGTTTGGGTGGCTTCTATGCTCGTCATCAGCAGCAACTCTGATCGGAAGAGCTGTACCGACACCTGAACTCAGAGCAACACCGTGCCCGTGCTGCGCGCTTCCCGAGCGCGTCTGATTGTTCTGGAAAGTGTTCCCAGTGACATTTGCAACTGGGAACTTGGACCCACACCGACTCGGCAGATCACGGGCCAGGATGTTCCAGGGATCCCGCCAGCTGCTCCCTCTCGGCTGCACTGAGCCACTGCGCCCAGCACGCTTCCTCTTTAAACCGACACACGTCTGACATATTAAAACCTCCCTAAGCTGACTGTGTGTGTCCTGCCTAGAACTCCCCCGGGAACTAGAGGTTACAGGCAGAGGCGGCCAGTGTTCTGAGTGGTGCATCCCAGCAGCCCTCGTGGAGCCGTTCCGCCTCTGGGGGGCATTTGGGGAATTCATGGGGCGTTTGGTGGCCACAGCGATGAGGTGGGTGGGAGCCAAGACTACCCGATGCCCCTCTGGACTTTCCCGGAGACGAGAACCCAGTTATAACTTAGAAATGACCGAGGCCTGGGACTCCGTTACGCTTACGCACTAAATGCTTGTTAAGTTTTAATATGCACGGAATTTTCCAGGATTGCCAGCAGCACATACACTGAGGAAGCGGTGTACCATGCACTGTCTGGAACTTTCCGGAGCGTGGTTTACCGTTTCAGAGAACCTTGTCACCCATGGCAGCGTCGCTCATGAGACGCGAGTCACCACATGCCTGAAGCAGGATTCACCTGCGTGTATCTTTAAGGTTCCTTCTGTCTCCCACATCGACTGCTTCCTCACAGACCTGCTTCTATGCCTGAGAGCGATGCCTGAGTTTCACTTTATTTTGGTTATTACGCAGCGTGGGTATGTGAGGGTTTTCGGGCAGCGCACTTTATAAACTTGACGACACTGACAGCGTAATATTAATACACATGGCGTTTAGCGACTCCAAGAAGGCTGCAGCTTTACTTCTTCCCGAAGGTGTGCGCGGACCTGAGGGTAAACTTACCTTCATGATCGGAAGCAGGTCTTCCACTTTGTGCACCTTCTCCAGGGCTTCCCTCACCTCCAACAAGCCTTTGGGGTTATTGGCACTAAAAGAGAGAGAGAGATGGGACTAAAATCAACACAGAAACGTAGTAATTGTGTGGTTACCTCTCGCTGGGCCACAGCGAAAGTTTCTAAGTAATAGGAAGGTTAATCCGAACACGTTTAGCCCACAGATGAGAATGAAGGAAACGGAGAAGCAGATTGGACGAGCATCCTGTGTGGCCATGAAACCTCACTCGCCGACTCCAACTCTGAAGTTAGAAGCAAATGCTTTTTCTTTGCTCACACAGAAGTACCTGCTAGGTTGGTGTTGTTGTTTCTTATTAATTTTTTATTTCCCTGCTAGGTTTTTATATCAATTTTATATTTACTTGGTGACAATGACTCATTCAGAATTTTTTTTCTCCAGCGTTCTGTTCACTGTTATAACTATGTCTTTACATCTCCCTTCCTCTCTGGTGAGGAGAATGGATACTAAGGCTGGAGTCCCTTATAAAGGAGCATCCTGCCTTTGAGAAGGGACTAGGAAAGCCACAATATTGAGGTCTGTGGAGTCTGTTAAGTTATGAAGAAGCAGGTTGACAAGTCACTATGAAAGGCTTCATGATTCCAAACACGATGTAAACATTTAATACACTTTGTTTACTCCGTCAATAGGCTGTTTTCAAGTTTCACAAACATAACAAAGATGTGAAATCAATCCATCACTAGGAAAAAGAATGTAAAGGTTTACCCGTGATAAATTAGAATTCTGTCTTTAATAAAATGAAGAATTTTCTCGAAATACTCCAGGTATCTCATGTTTATCACCTGCCCCCTGTAAGAAAAACAATAAAGAATTTTTACAAAGGAATAGATGCCAAACAACATCGAATTTCCAAGTTAATTCAAAAGAACAATAAGAAAGTGAATAGGATGAGGTAGCCACACCTACAGGGAAATTCACCCGTTTGCAACCAATGCACGGAGAGGCAAGGACTGCTCGTCGGCTCGTGCAGCCGGTTCTGGGGAAGGTGCTGCCCTGGAGATGCCCGAGTGGGAGGAAGGTCCTCAAGGACTAACGAGGCTCAGACGTCCGTGCCTCTTCCCTCCCCGGGACCCCTGCACTTTCCCAGCGACACGCCTTCTCCCCGTTCTCCTGACAGCACTGCTGCTGCTGCTGCCTGATGTCCACCCGCAGGCAGCCCACCATCCCCACTACCCGCCCTAAAGGATTTCTCTCACATTTCTACGCCCACCCCCACCCCCACCCCCAATCTTAAAACCCCCAGAACTCCATGCACAGCCACACGGTGATGGGCACACTCCACAGACATGTACATGGACCAGAAAATGTATACACCCGATTGGTGTCACGTGTACATCAGACTGATGTACATGTCCAACATGTACACACCTGACTGGCATGCACATGTACAAGAAAATGGACACAGCCTACGTGTGTGCGACGTGCATACACCCAACTGCTCCCCAGACTCCCCAAACCTCGAGTTCCTAAAAGTCCAACAGGAACCCACTCATCGACACTCTCCCAGCTCTATGCCCACCCCCTTTGTGTCCTGTCACTACCTGG